CTGACTTTTTGTTAGAGCTCTGGAAGCATAAGCAATTGGTTGGTTTTCTTGTAGAAAAACAGCACCTAATCCTTCAGAACTTGCATCTACTGAGAGTTACATCCTTATTAACATCATAGAATTTTAATACGGGTGCTTTTGTAATCAGTTCTTTAGGTGTTTTGTTTCGAAAGCTTTTTGATGCTTTTCAGTCCAGTGCCAGAGAACATTTTTCTCAAGTAACTGTCTTAATGGTGCAGTAATAGTAGTTAAGTTAGGAATAAATTTGGCTAAATAATTAATCATTCCCCCAAAACCTTTGTAGCGAAGGCACATCTGTAGGTTCTGGCATTTTAACAATTGCTTCCACTTTAGAAAAATCAGGTTTTAGTCCATTTTCACTTAACTCGTACCCTATATAATTCACACGATTAACTTTTATTTTACATTTAGCCTTATTGAACTTCAAATTATTTTCTCGTGCTCTCTGGAGTACTTTTTTAAGTTGTAGCTCATGTTCCTTTTCATTAGATCCCCATATTAAGATATCATCTATAATACATTCAATGCCTTCTAGACCTTCTATTATTTGAATGAAAAAATCTGTCATAAATGTAAAAAGGCAAATCATTTCACGAATCAGGTAAAAGCTATATAATAAAAATGAAGCAGTCAAGGTATACAAAAAAGATAGACAAATTAAATTAATAAATCATGACTCCGAGGAAGAGTTAGAATTTTATGTTGGCACATTAAACCTAAATTCAGATAACAAGGAAGAGAAATGCACTGTTGACGTTAATGTAAATAAAAGTAAACTAAATTTGCAGTTAGATACTGGAGCAATATGCAGTGTTATTTCTTAAAGCAAAGTGAAATTGCTAAATGTTCCGATACAGAAATCTGAAATTAAAAGATTAGTTACATTTTCTGGGAATAAAATGGATACTTTAGGAAAAGTAGTACTTAACTGCCAATATGGGAAAAATAATTATGTTGTGGAATTCCAAGTTATTGACAAAGAAATACCTTCTATATTAGGGTTAAAATCATGTTTGCAACTAGGTTTGATTCAGAAAGTAATGTCTGTTTACACTGAAGACTTACTGGAGGAATACAAAGATGTATTTGAAGGCTTAGGTTGTTTGAATGGAGAATATAAAATCCAGTTAAAACAAGATGTAACACCAGTCATTCATCCTCCGAGAAAAATACCCATAGCTATACGTGATAAAGTTAAGAAAGAATTACAAAGAATGGAAAAATTTAAATGGTCACAGTTGTCAAACCAAACAAAGTAAGAATATGTTTAGATTCTAGAGATTTAAATAAAGCTAAAAAATGAGAACATTATCCGATGTTAACCACTGACAAAGTTGTCACTAGTATGCCTAATGCAAAAATATTTTCTGTTTTAGATGCTAATAGTGCTTTTTGGCAAATCCAGCTTGACGAAGAAAGTAGTAATTTGTGTACATTCAATACACCTTTTGGCAGATACAAATTTAAAAGATTACCTTTTGGCATATGTTCAGCTCCAGAAATTTGCCAAAGAAAATTAAGCCAAATAATAGAAGGTCTAGAAGGCATTGAATGTATTATAGATGATATCTTAATATGGAGATCTAATGAAAAGGAACATGAGCTACAACTTAAAAAAGTACTCCAGAGAGCACGAGAAAATAATTTGAAGTTCAATAAGGCTAAATGTAAAATAAAAGTTAATCGTGTGAATTATATATTTCACAAGTTAAGTGAAAATGGACTAAAACCTGATTTTTCTAAAGTGGAAGCAATTGTTAAAATGCCAGAACCTACAGATGTGCCTTCGCTACAAAGGTTTTGGGGGAATGATTAATTATTTAACCAAATTTATTCCTAACTTAACTACTATTACTGCACCATTAAGACAGTTACTCGAGAAAAATGTTCTCTGGCACTGGACTGAAAAGCATCAAAAAGCTTTCGAAACACCTAAAGAACTGATTACAAAAGCACCCGTATTAAAATTCTATGATGTTAATAAGGATGTAACTCTCAGTAGATGCAAGTTCTGAAGGATTAGGTGCTGTTTTTCTACAAGAAAACCAACCAATTGCTTATGCTTCCAGAGCTCTAACAAAAAGTCAGAAAAATTATACTCAGATAGAAAAAGAGCTTTTAGCTATTACTTTTGGATGTTCTAAATTTCATCAATATATATATGGCAAACGTATTACACAGTTGAAACTGATCATCGACCATTAGAAAGCATAACTAAGAAACCTCTTTTTAAAGCACCACAGCGATTGCAAAGAATGCTGTTAAATTTACAAAAATGTGATCTAGATGTAAGATAAAAAAAAGCGGAAAGATTTATTAATAGCAGACACTTTGAGTAGAGCATATTTGAATACAACAGAAGATCATGATAAAGATACAGAAATTTGTACACTGATTCCAGCATCTGATGACAAAATTTATGAATTGAAGAAAGAATGTGAATGTGATGCTACACTACAGTGCTTAAAGAAATATGTTCTGAGAGGCTGGCCAGAAAGGAAACATCAGGTAGAACCTCAAGTCAAAGTATTTTGGGACTACAGAGATGAGTTGACAATGGAAAATGATTTATTTTTCAAAGGAAGAAGGGTAATTATTCCTTTATCTATGCAAAAGGAAATGTTCAATTTAATTCATGAGGGTCATTTTGGTATAGAAAAATGTAAGAAAAGAGCTAGAGATGTTTTGTTTTGGCCACTTATGAACAAGCAGATAGAAGATAAAATTTCAAAATGTTCTATATGTAATGAATACCAGAACAAAAACATAAGAGAGCCTATGATATCACATGAGATCCTCAATTTCCTACAGATGTGGTATAAAGTTGCGACAGATTTATTTGAGATTAACAAAGATGTATATTTATTAATTGTAGATTACTATTCCAACTTTTTTGAAATCTCCAAACTGCCGGATACTCGAAGTCAGACAGTGATCAGTTACATGAAATCTCATTTTGCAAGATATGGTATACCATTAATAGTGATATCTGATAATGGACCTCAGTTTGCAAGTAAAGAATTTGCAAAGAAATACCAATTTAAACATATAACAAGCAGTCCATACCATCCACAGTCGAACAGATTAGTAGAGCGTTCAGTACAAACGGCGAAGAAATTGTTAAAGAAAGCTCAAGCAGATCATGCTGATCCTTATTTAGCATTGTTAGCTCAAAGGAACACTCCAACTAATGAGATGCTAGGATCACCAGCTCAACGATTTATGAGTAGAGGAACAAGAACGATTCTTCCTACATCTGAAGAATTACTTAAACCTCAAGTTGTGAAAATGTAAAAGAAAAAATAAACCAAGAAAGAAAGAACTAAACAGAAGTCATATTATGATCGTCATACAAAAACATTACCATCGCTAAATAAAGGAGATTGTGTTCGGGTATATCAAGATAATCGCTGGAAAAGCCAGCAGTTGTAGAAGAAGTGCATAAGACGCCTAGATCATATATACTTAGATCAGGTGGATCAGTATTAAGAATAAATAGAAAAGATATTAGAGAAAACAGTTTAGCTATTGAAGGGAATATCAGAGGAACAGAACAAGGAGTTAATACACAGAAAACAGATGTAAAAGGATATGATTCCAGATATTCTCAAGGGCAAAGTTTAGAAGATCAACTACCAAACTCTGCTAACTCAGAAACAAGGAACGGTGAGCTAAGAACTAGAAGTGGGAGAGTGATTAGAAAGCCGGCCAGGTATTTGGACTGATTTTAGACTGTTATAACTTTTGAACTCTTTAAAAAATGGAAGATGTAATATTTAATAATTTGTAAATGGTAACATTTAATATTTAGTAATTTGTAATTGGCAACACTTTGGATACAGGTATGAAAATAGAACTATGCTGGTATTGCTTGCACCCTCATAATAATATACATGCTAGTTGGTAGGAGGGGGCAAGGTACTGTGCCCAGCACACTGCTTTTTCCGCTGTTTTCAGAGCCCACCAGTGGCCGAGCTGAACACTGGTAGTTTGGTCCGAGGTTCGAATCCCATGAACAGCTGGCTGCATGGGTGTTTTCATGGTTTTCCCCATGTGTAATGTGTATACGAGCCAGTTTACCTTAGAAAGTCCTCCAGGAAGGCATCCTTCCCCTTAGGCAGATAGCCCTAGTGTGCTTTGCCATATTTAAATACACCACACTGCTGTTTTCAGAATGAAACAGGAGACTCTTATTTGTACTCGCTAGTGTCGATTGGCTGATCACTAGTCCTTAGTGTCAGTGGTTTAGAGCTAAGCTTTTGGGAGTTCTTGCTTTCAAGACAGCTTACTATGGGGCTTCAGACTGCATATTGGCCTGGTTAACTCTGACACAAATTTTTTTCATGTTACCTAGCTTTGTAATTCTGATTTGATTCAGTTTTAGTTTGTTTTAACATTATTAATTGCTCATCACTATGTTATTTTAGCTTATTTTATAATTCAGTCTTTTATTAAACAATATGAGGTTGTCTGATCATATGTTTGGCATACCATAACTTTTGAGTTTATACACCATAAATTAATTAACCAAAGAAAATATACACATAGGCACCCAAAGATATTTTTTAAGAAAGATATATTATTATCTAACTGAAATAATCATTAGAATGATATGTTCATTAGCAACAAATGCCATATTTAGTTCATGAACAATGTATCAAAGCTTGAATGAGAATATAGGGCTCAAATCATAGGAAATAAATTATGCATCCAGTAGCAAAACTGAGACATTATAAAAAGTTTATTAAAAGTTTTAAGACAGGTAGCCAGTTATTGCTTATCTTTATTCGTGAAATCTTATTTTAGGAATTCAGTTATGTTGCTTTTGACATGATATAATATTAACTGAATTAACATTGTTTTTTAAAGATATTATTTTCAAATTCTATTGCTTTTATATTACTGAAATAATTAAACTACATTTTTATTTGAAATTATAAATATATTTTTGAGTCCCTAACTGATGTTTTCTTTCATAGGCCACATATCAAGAACATTTTTCAGAGCATAGCTGCCAAAGTTAATGGAGAACCTTGCTGCGATTGGGTAATATATTAAATCTAGTTATAGGCTTAAATTACTGTTAAAGAATTGATTAGAGTGAGTTAATTTCTAGCCAAGTATATGATAAAATATATGTATGTAATACTGTTGAAAAGATATAAACATTCTTAGAAGAAAGGTAATACTGTATTTCCTATCACAATGTTTCCCTGCTATTTCTAGAATAATCCAAGTGAATATTCTTGTCATAAGCATCTTAATTTTAACACATTAAAAAAAAAAAAAAAAAAAAAGAAAAGAAAAGAAACTAAATAACAGAGCAAATACAAAAATTACTGGGGAAAAAAGCATTTAATGCTGGCATGTTTCCACCTTTAAAATTTTAGTAGATTGCAAATTGCATGCTAATAATCATGAGCTAAGAGGAGGAAAGCTTAATGTAAAAAATGTTTGGTGAGATTAGAAAGTAAAAGATTTTCTCTCATTATATTCCTGGATAGGAATTTTTTTAAAGTCCTTTCACTATTATACAACTCTTAATAAAGCATTATACTATAATTCAAGTTTTGGAAACAGATCGAAATTTATTGAGGAATGATCCATAACTGAAAACGTGTACTATTTTTTGAAAAAAAAAAAAAAAAAGGGAGGAAGGGTAGATGTTCATTCAAGGAGAAAATAATAAGTTGTAAGATTTTAAGAATTAAATTTATTTAATGTAGTATTTTCGGTACGCTTCTGTTATCAGTACTGGATTCAGAAACGTATGTATGTGCATATATGTGTGTGTATGTAATATTAAAAGCGCAAGGAAAACCCGGAGCAGTGTCGATGCGTCATGAGATAAAAGCACAAGGAAAGATGGAACACTGTAGATGCGTGATTAGACCCATATTGAAGAAGAATTTTGATTGCGTAGTATTTAAAGAACTTGGCAGTCGAGGCAGTTTTAATTCCATTTTTATTTCCAATTGATATTTGTGGCCATGATCACTTGGCACTCTAGTCATGCCTTTCCACAGAAGATTTACATTTTTGATATTGTTGGGATAGAAAGCAAGCCAGCGAAATTAATCTTAGCCACAGTAGAGAGCAAAAAGCTGAAGTGCTTTGTTATGAAAAGATGGAAGCACGCGAAGAGAAAAGTTTTGGTTTACAATTCGGTGATTGGTCGTCAAGAGGCATCTGGTATTAACGGTTACGTAAGATCGCATGATTAATTTCAATGACGCAATGCAGATAAGTTATTACGATTTTAGAATAGAGAGGAAGAATTAATCTTTATAGTTATATTATAATTCTGATTCATACATTGTTATCTTACATATTTCCTCCCTTCAAAAAGAAAAAGGCGTAGCGACAGAGAAGCCTTTTTAAAGAGAAAGAGTTAAAACACTAGCAAATGTAAAAAAAAAAAATTAAAATAAATAAATCATAAAATTTTTGTCCTGTAAAGTATAATTTATAAATATCAATTTTTTAAAATAAATTTTTAATTTTTAAGAGTGCTATTGAATTTTTCAGCATTTCAGTCCAAAAGTCTTTTTGTTTGAGAGTTCACATAATCATAATTATTCAGGGAATGTTCTTGTTATTACAGCATATCACAAAATAAACTTTTACATAATGATTACTTATAAAAAAATGTAATGCACATAAATATTTATGATACTTATTTCCATACTGATAAATTATAATTTAACATCATAAATAATAGGATTAAGATTTTCAGAATTTATGGTTTCATTTCCGTTATCATCTTTCATTCATTTCAATTCCTGATTTACCCAAACTGGAAGCCTCGCAATACTTCTAAACAAACATATCCATCAATAGGCTGTCCTATTGAGCTAACCAGTGTGTTCTCTGCACTATGGCCCAGGGTGCCTAGACAGTTACTTGAAAAGACCTCCGTTCCTTGCATTAAGGTAACTGGCCTTTGAGAACTGCTGCACTAATACATTCCATAATAAAAAAAAATATAATAATAGTAATAATATAAAAATTTACATGCATTCATAAAAAAAATGAGAGCCTTCAACATTATCTTGCATGAAGAGGGTAAAAGGAAAAACTGGTACAGAGGTAATTACAGGCCTCTGTTGAAGGAACCAGTACACCCCTCATCATACTATACTTAACACACAATAACCCCACAATTTTAACATGCATTTACCATAATTTCATATTACTTATCTGTACTAATTTCACTTATTTTTAATATCTTTATTTTTAGAATGATTATAAAATTCGTATTCAAAATTCTCAACAAAATTTAAAAAAAACATAAAACTTATCTTAATATCCTTCCCTATGAATAATTAAATAGCTTAAAACTCGTTACTTAATTTGCTCACACACATTTTATGAAAAATTAGAAAAATTAATGAACAAGAATTTCAGATTTTCTCAAAACAAATTGCAGAAATTTTAACCAAAGTTGAAATGAAAACTATAGAATCCGCAGCACATTAAATAATTTAGTTCCTGAGCTAGATTCACATGAATGTAATAATTTTTTAGCTGTTGAAAAAGCAGAAGTGCAAATAATTTTCTGTCACACATACTTGCAAACACTAACTCAGATCGATCTTGAACCCGCTGTAATGCTTAATTCCTAAATGGTAATTCACTGATGATTTCCTTTTCACTAGGCATTCGAACTTCTCAATTTATCGAGAGATTACTTTCAATCTGTAAACACTACGCGTGATTATTTTTTTGAAGCACTTGCAAAACACCACAGCAGAAGAATGATCTGTTATTTTTTAAACACTGAAAAAACTAATTTGATGATTCACTTCTTTCACATTATCTTGGATTTATCACAAAATGATGATTTGAAGAGCTGAATTAAATTTTCCATTGAAGTTTCAGGCTGCAGGTGCGTCATAAGTTCTCCTAGACAGATGCCTTCTCGCCTTCATCCTGCTAACGCTTCCGCTATGCTCCTCTTTCTTTGTTAGAACGTTATGACGTATTAAAGTTTAAAGTCAGTCGCATCTAATAGTTCAATTACTGAATAAGTTATTTGATTAACTTCATCTGGAAAAAGTCATCTGCTATAAATTAAAATAAAGATTGCTTGCTGTTAAAAGTGAAAAGTCCTGAGTCGTCATTTTTCTCCGTACTTCAATCATCCCAGCTTCGTCAACCATCTGCCAGAACGTGTAATGGAATAGCCTCACCATTCGCCCACGATGTGATGGAATAACTGAAAACATTACATGGATTCAGAAACGTATGTATGTGCATATATGTGTGTGTATATATACGCATGTGCATGCATACATGAACACATACATCTGTACATAACATGATACATTTCTAAATCCAATCCTGATAACAGAAGAGTACCATATTTTTTAATCTTTTAGACGTCCGTGTTATATAAAATGTTGCCTTTCATATCTGAATCTCTACATCTTTCCTTCTTCATTTGGTTAACTTCCATTAAATATTTAAAGCTTGTAAACTATTAATGCACAATCGTTAATTCTCTATCCATATGCAACGTATATATTATAAGAGTCAAGATAAGATTTATAAGATTTATAAATGATTATTGCTCATTTATGCATTTATCCATCCTGGCATCAATCTCTTTGTCAGGTAACTTTAATTTTTTTATAATCTAATAAATCCTAATCTACATCTCATTAATGCATATAATATGTAGGAAAAAGGAGAAGGGAAAATATGAAAGAAGAAACTTACTCAAGCTATTTTTAAAAATGCATTTTTTAAAAAACAAATACAAACATGTGCATGTACTGATGAACCAAATAATTAACTCAAAATGGCATGCAGGTTCAACATTATAAAATTTATGTTCAATTTCTTAAAAGATTTAAAAGTTTATTAGAGATAAATTTTCATATTATGTGCCAGTTTTATTCATATATTTGTACATAAAAATGTACAACTCAATTGAATTGAAATATGTAAATTAAAAAAAAAAAACAGTGTGAATTTCAATATCTTGAACCAAAAGAATATATTTTCAGGCATATAATTTTCTTGAGAATAAAAGATTTAAAAGTTTATTTATTATTATTATTTTTTTTTTATTATTATTATTTTTTTGGCTGTTCTGTTGAGAAGAAAAGTTCATGATGACGTTGCATTTTCTTTTCGAATCCACGCTAAGATTGTGTTTATAAATTAGCTTCATTTGTTACTTTATGAAAAGCTTCAGTCATCTTATTATATTAAAATACTGTCGCTATATATTTCATGAAAACAGTAATTCATAGATATCCTCAAACAGAATGACTTTTTAGATACTTACTTTATTGTTAAATATTTAGTAAATTTTTTAAAGCAAGAAATCATGCAAGTATCAATCACTAAAAATAATGTTATTTTTGTGGTTAATGAATTTCTGTTGAATGTTTTTCTACATCAATTTTAAAGAAATTTTCTTTCTTAATAAGGTTGGAGAAGAAGGATCAGGTCATTTTGTAAAGATGGTTCATAATGGTATTGAATATGGTGATATGCAGCTTATATGTGAAGCTTACCATTTACTGAAGGATGCATTGGATCTGGATCATGATGAAATGAGCCAAGTAATGCAGTTTTTATGCAATCAATGAAATATTCTATATTTGTAGAGTATATAAGTTGTCACAAAATGTTGGCAGATTAGAGAAAATATTTATGCAACATTTTAAAGTTACTTCATGCAAGAAAATATTAAATCATTTGTTTATATTAATTGAGAATGGCTCAATTGCTAAATGGTAATATAATAACAGTTTGAAGCCATTTCTGTGCTGAGAAATATATTCTATGATGCATTACATGCTGAAGTTAGTATACTGTTCTCTGTATTGTATTTTATTTGTTACTGTATTATACTGTCTTGAGGCATTTAAGTTAGATATTGTTTAAAAGATTTTTTTTTTCCATTTTCAAAAAAAAAAAAAAAAAATGTTAGTGGATAATTACATATGATCAGATATGTAAGTTACATTAAGCTGCCTGCTGAATTCTTTTAAGCAGCAGTTGAGTATACGTAAAAACAGTATAACTGCATCAGACTTTCACACTGAGCAGAAATCAGTATTAAATATTGATAATAATATTATCAGCATTCTAAAAAGCATCTATTCTGCTATCATCACTTTCTTAATGACAAAAACAGATTTTGTATTGTGTCAATAAGTTTTACCAAGCTGCGTTGTTTCACATGAGCTTCACGTCACACTTTATGGGAAGCAGCTGTATCATTTGTTCATAACTGTTAAAAAATTATTTATGTGTGAATTAGACAATTTTTTTAACTTTCTCAAATGCCCAGATGAAATTTGGCATGTTTATTTGCCTGTTATGTAATGCAATGTAGGCTCTCTGCATGTGCAAATTAATGAGTTCATTCATCTGTTGTCGTTTGTGTGAAAGAATTAAGCTTATCTGTCAACTGATGCTTTTGTGATTGAGTAATATTCACAAATAACTTTCCAGAGGAAATAACAGAGAACACTTTATTTTTATACTTTAGTAGGATTTACTCAAATATGCACTCATGTGCAAAATTTAACGAATTTGTATAAAAATATGAAACTAGAGGTACTAATTATGCCGCCAAAGAATTATGAAAATATTCAGAGTCAAATACATAAGTGTACATGTGTGTCTGCGGAGCTGGGACTGTACAGGGGATATAAGCACATTAGAGGTTTTGGCCAATTTATTTGTTCATACTTCTTCATAACATTCAATGTGTTTCTTGCAAGAGTTGGATAAATTTTATAAGGTATCAAGTAAAATGAGTAGCTGCGAATATGTGCATAAAAGAATGAGATGGAGAATTTTTGGTAGATTGGAGGCAGACCAACCAAAAGTGCAGGTGGCTACAGAGCTCAGTGTTATATGCAATTAATGGGCACAGTTTCTGGACACTGGATCCATATCAAGAAGACCTGGATGAAGGTTGATGAAGATCTACTATGCCAAATGAGGATCGTAATTTGGCACTATCAGCAGAACAATGCAGGACTGCTACAGCTTCACAGCTCTCGCATTAGCTGTATGCTGTCACTGGAACCCAAGTTTTATAGTTCTACATTTGCCTGAAGACTTTGTGATATAGGGCAGTATGTCAGAAGACCTGCTATTTGCATTCTGCTCACTGCAGCACACAAGAGAGCACATTTCGCATGTAGAAGACAACATGCTACCAAACTTCAGTAGAGACTGTGCATTTTACAGATGAGTTGAGATACAGCCTGGAACTGATGCTCAGAGTACCTCTATATTTAAAGAGCATAGAAAATGATAATCATCCCTCCTTTTATCAAAGAAAAGGATCATTAGTGTAGTTGAAGTGCAGTGGTTTGGGCAGCCATTATGTTGGACAGCTGCACACTAAAACAAAGTGAAAAAGGGGAAAAAAATATTTTTATTTTATTTTTTTTTTCAAATGTTATTCTTTCCTGACCCAACAAATGGTTTGTTCTATGAAAAAATACAGTAAAGCAGTTGCAGCTCTATCACTCATCATCTTTAGTTTCCATATGAGGTAAATATAAAAATCAATGTTAATATTAATGAAAACATCAAACTTTTTTTTAATAATTTTTTACAATAGTTTTGTTTCCTGACTCAACATATGGTTACAATTAGTAAAAAAATTCCAATAAAAAAGTTGCAGCTTAATCCCTCGCCATCTTCAGATTCCACAAGAAAACCGAAAAATTCATCTTGGTGTTGAACTTCGTAATTCCATTCCAGGATTTGATTCGACTGTGTATGAATCCATCCCTGGCTTCTGCATCATATGTTTCAGTGGTGCTGCTGTCAACAGTCTCGCATACTTGTCTTTTGCTTGAGAATGACAAGAGAGCTTTCCTATTTCAAGCTGAGAACCGCCTCTAATCAGTTTTATGTCTTTGTCGCTGAGGTTCAAGGTAGCTGGTGGTTCCAAGGGATTGTCTCAGGAAAAAAAAAAACAACAACAACAAAAAAAAAAAAAAGGATCACTACAGTAGTGGCGATGTTATGGTTTGGGCTGGCATTATGTTGGATGGTCATACACATGTTTGACAAGGGCTTTCTGAGTGCTAAGAGGTATGCAGAGAAGAGCTTATGTTCGACTTTTCAGATTTGTAGCTGGTCCTGGATTCCTATTAATGGACAACACCCATTCATATAGGACTCAGCTGGCCAACAAATACCTGGAAAGTGAGGATATTTGCCACATGGATTGGCAAGCCAGGTCTCCTTACCTTAACCCTATAGTGCATGTCTAGAATGCTCTTGGATGGGCAATTGCATCTCACCATCTCATTCTCAGAACTCTCCTGGAGTTGAAAATTGCCTTGCTGCAGAAGTGAGATTGGCTGCCACAGGGACTCCTCACTTGCCTTCTGTCCAGTATGTTGTCTTGCTGCACAAACTGTTTGGCTGTAAGAGGGAATCCTACCCCACATTAGATTAATTTTCTGTTTAATATCACAACTTGGATTTTGGACTTCCCTGCAGTATGAGCTTTAGTGATAATCATGCATACATGAAATGACTTTTAATGGGTATATTTCTTTTTCTGTTATATATATGTGTTCATTGATAACAGAAAAAATATATATAAATATATATTTATAAATGTGTATTCAAATTTCATTAAAATCTGTCCATTAATTTTTCAGAAATTCGACATAATGTGCAAGTTCTTTTAATTTTGCACGCGAGTGTTTATGCATTATGCAGTGTTTTCACTGAAAGGATTTTAAAAATATTATTTGCATGTTGATATTTTAAAGTCAAATCTTCTTGATGTCTTAATGTTATCAATTATATTTAACAAAGAAATATACATCATTAAAAAATTCTTTTGAAAGATTTTCCATTGATATATCTCAATTAAAAAAAATAATGTCTTCCTCATTTGTTGTGTATAGTTATAGAAAGTAAAGTTGTCCGTTAAGAATTTAAATTTGGTTGAAATCATTGGAGCAGGATATCTATTTCTTTTCTTTATTTAGTCTTAAATGAAATGTACTGTAATCGAAACAATTACAATGGTAACAAAACTTGATCTTGTTTAAGTTAGAATCCAACAATATATAGTAGCTAGTAACTACATAAGCATATTCTGTATATTTTGTTCTGATATATTACTGTGGAAGTTGTAAGTGCAGAAGGAATTAGAAGTGTGCTATGAAAATAAGAACTTAAGGAATTTGATGTTGTCTCTTTTACTGAAAACTTGGTGAAGACAGTTAAATATAGCAGTGTGCTTCCCTTCTAAATGATTAAAGTAGAGCAATCTAAAAAATTCTATATCTGTGTTCCTGCAGCAGGCTTTTACAAAAATGAAAGAAGACAATTTTGAAGAAGCTATCTAAGAAATTTTGAATAATCATTCTTATTAATCTTGAACAGATAGAAAAGTTTCTTTCCATAAAATGCCAATTTATTAAATCTATATCTGGTTCTACTAGATCTTACAAGCTGAATATATACATAAACCTTTTATACTAAATAATTGTATATGTAAATACAAAATATATATAAATATTGTGCAAAAATTACAAAATTGTAAACATTTTATTTGTATTACTTTCATGTAATTTATAAATGTTCATTAAAATGATGCAAGAAATTTGTTCATTTTGAAAGTTAATGCTTAATTGTAAAATTATAGATGCTAAGAGATTATTTTCTATAATTATAATACTTTAACAAATGTGTTTTTAGATTTTTGCTGATTGGAATAAAGGTGAATTGGATTCATACTTAATTGAAATCACTAGTAATATCCTCAAGTATAAAACAAATGGAGAAGTTTTGGTCACTAAGATTCTAGATTCTGCTGGTCAGGTATGAGCAATATTTTATTTAACTATTTTATATCAATATTTATTACATATTTTTTAAAAACTCCTTTTATGAGTTCAAATACTTTTTCATGTTATTTAGAAAGGAACTGGGAAATGGACTGCAATAACTGCTCTAGATTATGGAGTCCCTCTAACATTAATTGGTAAGATTGCTTTGTTTTAATACAGTTAAAAAACCAACTATTTATTTAAATATTTGTGGATTCTGATGGATTTTTTAAATTTGATTTTAACTGAATGTAGTAATAATTTTAATTTGGTATTTTAGTACTTGGATAATGCAGTATATGATACTTATCAGTCGTATCAGGAGATTAAATAATTGCTTTCTTTTTCCAAGCATGTATACCTCTGCATGTTTCATTCATACAGAAAAGTAAAACAAACTTGATTTAGAAAGTTATCTAATCTTTTATCAGAAGTATCTATGTAGTATACGTATTGTCTTCAGAAATATGTAACAATCCCATACAAGTGGAAAATAAAATCTTGGAAACTGTAGTCTCATGCTGACCTACAATTTCAGATTTAAATCTTGTGATCATTGACTATTTAATTTTAATTTTGACCATCGAAAATTTTATTTTGCCCTATTGTTATTTAAATGTTATCTTAGTTTTTCTTTTGAGGTAGAAAAAATATTGCATTAATGTAATTATTTGGTTATCTCATAAATCCTGTGTTAGTATTCAATAAACAAAATCTTAAATATTTATTTAACTGCAGTTTAATTTTTAAAAAAGGGCAGAATGTAGATGAAATTTAAAGTACAATTAATTTCCTTGTTTCACTTCATATTTTAGGTGAAGCTGTCTTTGCAAGATGCTTGTCATCTCTAAAAGAAGACCGTGTTAAGGCCAGTATACTTAAAAGGACCAAGTGGAGTTAGATATCAAGGAAATAAGAAAGAGTTCATTGAGCACGTACGGAAAGTAAGTATATGAGTTTTTTGTATATTTTTGTTGTATAAGGTATAAAAATAAAGTTCAGCGAATCTGTTTATAAACAAAAGAATCTTCCCTAAATCAAGAAAATTGTTTCATTTTGCCTAAAGAAATGTCTTGTTTGCAATGTACTTTTCACAGTGACTGCAAATTTCCTGAAAACTATGATATAAATCTTCTTTTGATGTCTTCTTCTTGAGGTTGAGTTTGTCAGGTATCAGGCACCTCTGTTTAATAGCATTTTGTGCCAAACGCATCAAACCCAATATTTCCTAGCTCCATTTGTGCGGGTCACTCACTTTAGTTCTGTTCACGTGCAACGCTCTTTCACACAGCCGCAGTTTGTATTAGGAAATAATTTTAAGCTGAGAAAAAAAAAATTTGCCAGTATTTTTTTAATTAAAATTTTTGAAAGAAAAGTTTAACAATTAAAATGTTATTCTTCTCCTACAATTTTCAATGATTTTTCCCCCATATTTTCTTATTGTGTTATGTTATGAAGTACCTTCCCTGTACTTTTTCATACCTGCTGTCACATGTGAACATTCTCAGACATCATTCAGTGAACTTTGTCATATCTTGCAAATTTTCTTATACACTGACTACCAATAAGTATTTGGACACCTATGCAAATGACGATAACTGCGGTCCTAAGGTACATCACGGACTCCTCCGGTATGTATCGTGTAGGAAACAGCATCGGCTTTAGTCGCATGCAAGATGCCTCGCAGTTCGGACCTCTCTGATTTCGAGAAAGGTATAATTATCGGGTATCACAAATGTGGCCGATCCTTAAGGGACATATCTAACGATCTGAATTACCTAAAATCGACAGTGGTCTATGTGATTAAGAAGTGGAAGGTGAGCGGTGATTGTCTGAATGTGCCCCGAGTCGGCAGACCAACGAAACTGGGAGATAGAGACCGACGAGGGCTGTCCACAGACGTTCGGAAGAACCGAACCCAACCGATGGCCCTCATCCGCGAGGACTTTCAACAGGCATCCGGGAGTATTGTTTCAATGAATACCATCCGTAAGGAAGCACATCTGCTTTATTTTCATGGTCGTGCTGCTGCCCATAAGCCTTTGATCACAAAGTCCAACCGCGCTACTCGGTTAATGTGGTGCAAAGCACATCGAAATTTGACCGTAGATCAGTGAAAATGGGTTCTTTGGAGTGACGAATCAAGGTTTACCGTTCGGATGGCAGGGTCTGGTTCTGGTGTTTACCTGGAAAACGTCTCCTGCCAGAATGCATTGTGCCAACAGTCAAGTTCGGCGGAGGTGGAATTATGGTCTGGGGGTGTTTCCCCTGGTATGGGCAGGGACCCTTGTCCCCATTCATGGTAAGTTCAACTCCGATGCCTACTGCACTATTTTGGATGACAATGTGCTTTCTACGTTGTTGCAGTTTCACGGGTTGGACCCCTGTTACTTTCAGAACGACAATGCCAGTTGGCATGTTTCGACGTTAACCAAGGCTTGGTATGCTGCCAATTGGAGTTCATCGAATGGACTGGCCTGCCCAGAGTCCAGACCTGAACCTATCGAGAACCTCTGGAACGAGTTGCATCGCCGAATTCAGGGGTGTACTACCCGTGCAAAATCTGTGAAGGAACTTCTATGTCTTCTCCAAGCCGAGTGGAAGAAAATACCACTAGCTGTCATACAAAGACTTGTGGAAAGTATGCCCCGGAAGGGTCCACGCTGTAATTACCTCTCGTGGAGGCTCTACCAACTATTGATTTTGAATAAAGTTAGTTTTTCTTTTCTATCACAGGTGTCCAAATACTTATTGGTAGTCAGTGTGTGAACATACTATTCTTGGCTACTGGTTTGTTGATTTTTTTCTGAATGATCACTCCATATACATGAAAAGAACTTAGCAATTTATTTAAAAATTAATTATAAACAGCACAGGAAGTAACTTCAGCTTAAGCAGAACACGAATATTAAACAACAGCTCCTCTAGGCATGAGAAATGTCAGCAGTTACCAAAATCTCTTGATTAATTCATTCACTTAATTCTAAGTCTTTCAGAAGAATAACAAAACAATAATAACAGGTTGAAGCTGTATTCATGATGTAACACATGCAGGGATGTGGAATAGCATGAACTTATAGAAATTTTGAGAAAGATCAGTCATCAAAGCTCAGGAGAAGCATATCTTATATTTCACTTAAGCTAGTTGTGCAAACTCAGAACAAAACATAATGATCAATAATTCCATACTAGAGATGAACTCTTATATATATATAAAAGTGGCCACAAATACAAATAAATCAATGAATAAATAATATAGCAATGCAATGAAAAGGATTTAAATATTTGAAGATATATACTACATTATTATTGAAATGTGTATATATACTTATTTTTAGATTTTTATGTCTAAATATATTTTTTAACTAATGACTATAATCAAACTTTTCTCATTCCAGGCACTATATGCATCAAAAATTGTTTCATATGCTCAAGGATTTATGCTTCTTAGAGAAGCTGCCAAAGTATTTAATTGGAATTTAAATTACGGTGCCATAGCATTAATGTGGAGAGGAGGATGCATTATTAGAAGGTAAATAACACTATATAAGTTACTCTTTCTTTGTTAAGGAAATTAATGCATAAATTTTCATGTAAAATTATGGAAAACAAAATATTAGGACTTGCATATCAAACCCTTCCCTAAAAGAAATGAAGTACTTCATTATGTTTTATCATTGTAGTTATTCCCAATATACATGGAAAGTTCTAATAACACAATACAGTTAACACTTTAGAATGAAAATCGTCATGTTGTCTTATTCTCGGCCTGACCCAGAGAGGGCGCTCCTATCACCAAAAGTTTGTTTTCTGCCTAGGTGCAGGTGTCATTAGTTCGTATGACAAGTTTTAACTAGTTCTCTCAAGTAGTTTATTTACACGAATTTTTGCAGTAGACGTCTTGCATGTTATTTGTTGAAATGGATAAACTTGAATACCGTGAGATCATAAAATTCTTTGTTTTGGATGAATTGAGCCCTAAGGAAATTCATCCAAAGTTGATAAAAATTTATGGGAAGCTCTGTTCCTTCCATGTTAACCATTAAAAAAGGGGCAGCTGAATTTAAACATGGTCGCCCATCTCTCGAAGATAACACATGTGAAGGATGGCCAAAAACTGCAATCACACCGGAAATCATCAAAAAGTGTATGATATCATGTTGAATGATAGGCAAGTGAAGATGTGTGGGGTAGCTGAGCTATGCGGGTATCGGAAGAAAAGGTGCAAAATATCTTGCATAGAGAATTAGGGATGCGAAGCTGTGTGCAAGATGGGTGCCGCATTTGCTGAATGTGCGTCAAAAGCAAATATGCAAATAATTTTCACAGCAATCTTTGGGCCAACTCAACAGGGACCCTATCGATTTTGTACACCCATTTGTCATCATGGATGAGACATGGATCCATCACTACATGCCAGAAACGAAATAATGGTCCAAGCAGTGATTGGAAGCTCGTGGTTCAGCGCCAAAGAAATCATTAATCACATCTGCTGGAAAGGTCACGCACCATGTTTTGGAATGAGAAAGGGATCTTTTTAATTGATTACCTTGCAAAAGAGAACAATTGCAGCCGAATATTACTCCAGCCTTCTTGACCAGCTGCATGCTAAATTTCGCAAGAAGAGGCCTGGCTTGAAGAAGAAAAAAACTTCTTTCATTAGGACAACACACCTGTGCACAAGGGTGCGTTGGCAATGGGAAAACTGCGGGATTTGGGTTACAATTTTATCAGGCTCCTGCCCCCCATTCTCATGATTTGGCACCCTCAGACTTCCATCTGTTCCCAAACTTCAAGAAATTTGTTTCTGAGAAGTGCTTCCCATCCACTGAAGACGTTGAGAGGGTCGTAAATGATTATTTTCATAACTTTCCAGACTCTCACTTCTGGGAAGGAATACTGATGTTGGAGAAACGCTGTACCAAGCGTGTTGAAGTCAAGGGAGATTATGTAGAAAAATAAAATCATTTTTTAACTGAAAGTTGCAGTCTTTCATTGTCAGGCTGAGAACCGTAAGGTGATTCCATGACGTTGCATATAAAATAATCAGAAGTGTCATTTCTTAACCCTTTAACCATCCTAAGGTTTGGTTCCTAAAAGCCCAAATTTCCCAAAAAGGTATTTTCTTGATATTAATTTTAAAATACCCTCTGCTATTCTGCACTTGTACTTCTTTTCTAATAAATATTTTAAATTATTTTCATAAATTTTAAGATGCTTGTACGCATAATGTTTTTTAGAAGTGTCATTGAAAATATTCTAAATATGTGTGCGTATGTTTAGACGCGACCTGGTCGGCTGGAAGTTTAAGGATAGGATGTTTTAAAGAGATGGTATATCATGTTGGGAAACATTATCCAATGTAAAGATGGCTCTTGATAAATAACTACCTTTTTGCCATATATTTAGTGTGACTTTCAACAGAATGTTTATGGTTTCCTATTACTTATATTTTAAAAAACGGTCTTTTCTGTTCATTTTCAGTGGGTGTTTCAAGCAATTATACAATTATGTATTTTATGATTTAGATATAGAAAAGCCATAGGCTACTTTAATCAAAATATTCTTGGCAATAAATTCATACATTTCCCATGTTTTTAACTTAATTTGCATTTCAGAAATTTAATTTTTTATATTTTATTATAAATTTTAGTGTGTTCCTTGGTAACATAAAAGCAGCATTTGACAAAAATCCTGAGCTTTCCAATCTTCTGATGGACCAATTTTTCTGTGATGCAATTGATAACTGTCAAGAATCTTGGAGACACACTTTGACAACAGCTGTAACACTGGGCATTCCAACCCCTGCATTTAGTGCAGCATTAGCATTTTATGATGGATTTAGATCTGAGATGTTGCCAGCAAACCTTATTCAAGTAAGTTCTGTGTACAAATCATGAATATAATTCATGAAATTATACTTCCACTGCATTAAAGTATATGTTGTTAGCAGAGAATATTATAAGATCATAGGAGTAAAGCATAAGATCGTTAACAAAATATTGATTTGGAAGAGCTTGGAAATAAAAACAGAAATGAAGAAAACGTACATTTAAATATAGTTGCGTTCTAAAGTTATTATCACCTTATTAACCTTCTGAACGTTATGACAGACTTTATCCAGTCATTGGAAGTTTTGCTACTTGGCATATATTAGCTTATAATTTAAGATATTTTGCTTTCTTACTTTCTTTAAAGCGTGACTTAGGATATATATTAGATTTATATATAGCACTATTCTAACATAGGTATTTTGACACAAAATCAGACTTTTTCTGAAATAACATACCAATTGTTTTACATATTTCGATTCTACGACTCAGATTATGCCAGAATACCAAGTTTTGTAAAAATCGTACGAGTAGTTTTTAAAATATTAGCTCTCAAAGTTTTAGCTCCTCAATGTTAATTGAATTTGGAAAATATTTATTTATATCTCTTTTTTTATTAAACTTTTTTGATTTTTTCTCTCACATTTCGAAATTTAGGTTCATTCCAAATAAAATTTACCCATTTTTTGTGTTTTATTTTTAAATTTCCATTTTTAAATAATTTTTATAAATTTTTCGAAAAAAATTTTGAATTATAACCTATAAAATTTTTACCATCATCTTAAAGTAGGTGTATTTTTAAGCATATCTGCAAAAAATTAGACTTTTTTATTCAAAATTTTCTGAGATATACACAAATTTACATATTTTTGCGGTTTGAAATTTGGCATCTTTTTTTTTGAGCGATAATAACGCCAAATGTGGTCTATGGATTTTTGTTACACAGTATTGCCACAGCTATTTTTAACCTTAAATTTCAAGTAAAATTTTACGGAGAATTAATTATATGACATTTTTTCCCTCAATGATGCGTAATAAATATTTATTAATACTATATGAAAAGCTATTTTTTTTAAATAAATTTTTTAATATTTTTTTTAAATTTCTCTATCTTTTTTTTTATATATATATATATATATATAAGAGTAAATTTTTACCTTCGGCGTTTTATCGTCTGCTACTTTACTTCGTTTAAATCGAATTGTCTAAAACTGAGAATTTTTGTTTGATGTTTATTTGAATTTTATGACATTAACTGCACAATTTATTTCTAAACAAACTGATGCTTTTGAAGTGGCTGAAAGAGCGGCTGGTACTATCATCCATATTTTTAAAGCACAGTATATTTTTATAGAAACATGAGATTTAGAATAATCATTTTTATAAAAGTCAAATTATGATATAAACATACAACCCTCTAGAGATTGAATTAATGGAAGTTCAATCGTTATGTAGAAATGATCTGCAGCTACTTAATCGCTGGATAAGTCAGCAGATTCTGTGGACAAGTAAGAATAATTATATAAACGACACCCAACATTCTGAATTCAATTAACAACGAGGATACCATGTTTATTAAATGAATTCAAGAAGTTTTAAAACAAAAAATCAACTCATTTTTTATCCTAAAATGTATTTTGGTGCATAGCATATTTTCATTATTCTAATTTAAAATTCTAATAATTCTTAAAATTCTAATTTAGAATGTAATTGTCAAGAAACTGATTCCTAATCATCAGTAAATATAATAAGTAATTATTACGGTTATTAATAAATCCTTCTTATAAAGTAATTGCAAATATATCAAAAAACTTTCTGTCTGAATGCAAATATTTTTAATTTTATATTAATCAAGATTGCACATGATATTATTTATTTGCACTTCAGTTCTTAACGTCAGCTCTAGTAGAAGTTACAAATCAATTATATTTAATTAAGGATTGGATTGGATTATTTAATTATGGCAAAGCACATGAGGGCTATCTGCCTAAAGGGAGAGATGCCTTCGTGGAGGACTTTCTAAGGGAAACTGGCTCGTATACACGTTGCACATCGGGAAAACCACGAAAAAACCCATGCAAACAGCCCGTTCACGGGATTCGAACCTCGGACCGAACTACCAGTGATCAGCGTCTTTACCGCTCGGCCGTTTGTGGGCCTTTATGAAATGGAAGGCAATAACTTTATTTAAAATGATTGTCAGAAATACCAAAATGTTTCGAAAAGTTGGATACTTTTTAATATACTTTCAGAATGCTTAAAGAAAAAGAGAAAAAAAAATTTTTTTTTCGTAAAATTTAGTATTTGTATTTTTTTAATTTAAAACTTTTCAATCTTATGATATTTGATTCTTGCGATTTCAAAAATAAAATATTTGACTAAAATATGAATAAAATTTTAAGAAAACAAATGTAGGATAAAATTGTGTAAAGCAATCGGCACAATGATAAAACTGTTTAAAGCAGTGTATGCAAGTCATCCTAAGTTAAAATGTCGGTTATACATCTCTCTTATTTATATATATCTTTTCTGAACGGAACATTGAAAGGCGTGTAAAACTGTGCTTTACTATATTTTGTCTTTTAATATAGTATGCAGTTTTCAAACTCATCGTAGTCTGGGTTACAAAGTATTCTTCCAAAAGAAATGCAGTTCAAATAAATAAAATCAAATTCTGGAAAATTGATATGAATAAATATATTTAAAATGCTCAGTTCGAAGGAATAAATAGAAAATTTTAAAACAATTATCTGAAGAGACAATGCAACACAAACAATTAAAATAAAAGTATAAAAGTTTAAAAATTACCTAAAATAATAACTATGACGAAAAATATATATAAAGAAAACTATTTGAAAAAAAAAATAAACGCTGCACCTTTATTTACGCAGTTCGAATAGGTAAATAGAAATTTTTAAAACAGTTATTCGAAAAAAAAAAAGTGTGCAACTTAAACAATTAAAACGAAATTCGAAAAAAAAAAATTACTTAAAATAATCAGTTGTAATTAAAAATATAATATAAAGAATATTATTTGGAAAAAAGGAATGATGGTGACTTTTTTCCTCTCACGGGAAAGGAAACTAGGTTGCCATATATTAAGAAGTTCGCCAAGTGAAGTATTCTTGGCGCAAACTGACAAAAAAGTGCCAACATAATTTGTGAATTTCTCCGTAAATTTCACTCCAAATTTTACAAAATTTCATATTTTGGCGTAATTTGAGTTGTAGAATTGAAATATGTAAAAAAATTGGTATGTTATTTCAGTAAAAGTCCGATTTTGTGTCAAAATACCTATGTTAGAATAGTGCTATATATAAATCTAATATATATCCTAAGTCGCGCTTTCGAGACATGAAGAACACAATTTGAATTTTGTCAATCGACCCAGTAGATCGGGAGATATAGGACTGTCCTTTTTAGCAGTGTACATTTATGAAAATACAGACTAAAATAAGTAATTTACAAACTCAATTAATAAATGCTGTTTAAATACCGGTCTTCATGACGGATCTAAAATCCTACCCCGCTCAATGGGTTAAAACATGTTTCATGATGTATCACCACATTTGTATGTGCCTTTGTCTAAAAGCTTGTCACCTGGTCATTCAGTCAAATATAATCTGATGGAAATCATCAATCGCACAAGCTTTCTTTGTCAACCTTTCTTTTTGTAGACATTTATTCATTCTTTTTTAAACTTATGGTAGTTTCCTTCAGCAGTATCAGTCAATTGTTTTCCATCCATATTAATCTACAATGAATTACAGTTGCATTTTGGTATTCCTTTTTAGAGAATATAACAACAGAATTAATAATCTTACATTTGGCAGACCGTCAATTCTTTTACATATTTTTTCATGCATCGATATAAACACGGTGGGTGGAATGAAGAATAACATGAAGAAAAAGCATGAAACATGATATATGGTTGAGCTCGACCATGAAACTTAATCTAGCTTTTTGGGAAATTCTATAATTTCCTCTTTTACTTCCATTTTTCCATTTCAAAATTTGTATGTGGTAAGCTCTGAAGCATCACTATAAGGCATTAACAATTGTCTATTATTTCACTGTAATGTTGGAACTTCTACATCCTGTTCAATTTCCTTTGTCTAATCATTGTGCATATTAAAACTTTTGTGCTAATTAACTGCATATTAACTTTTTTAACTTTTGTGCATATTAAAAAAACTATTTTTAACTAACTTTTGTGCATATTAAAAAAACTATTTTCCTCATTTCATATTTTATTTCTAAACTTTTTGGATTTAATTAAAAAATAAGTTTATTAAAGAGAGTAAAAATAAAACATGAGTTATTTTACATTATTACATAAGGTAGTTAGTAAATAGGCTACAAATGATTACAGAAATAAATCTGCATCAAATGGATATGTAACAACCAATTTTATTTTTCCATTTAACTTCCACCTGCCTTGAGAATGTTATTCTATTGATGTCTGTGTTGCTGCCAGTATGTGCTATGAGCCTAGCATTGTTATAATGGAACAGTATGCTGTTGCTCAGTAGGCTTGGATGTTTTTGGTCAATGGGTAGACCAGAAAATATAATATTACCTTGCTTTATGATGTAACAGTCACATTCACTCTTTGGTTCAGGTAACAATATATGTTTGATAGCCCATTGCTGTTCTAATATAAATTTTTCCAACACACTAGCCTTTTTTACATGGCCCTGATATAACCACAATTAATTGATGGCTTTGCTCATGGACTCTGTACAATGTATGACTGTCTTGCTACCTGGTGATACTTGTTGAAACTACTCGTGAGTATTTCTTATCATCCTAAAGTGGCTTGTAACCTATTGATTTTACATCATGCATATGTCTATGGCCAAAACAAAATGCTTTGCATTATTGAATATTAATGTTAATTGAGCAAGTTTTAAATGCTTTATAAGAATGTGAGATATTTAATCACTTTTGATATGATAAGTAATACAATGAATATGCTTGAGTAGTTCAATACTGCTTGTAAAAACTTGAGTTTTTGTTCAAGGTAAAAAAAAAATCAAATAAGAAAATACTTGAAAACTTGAGAGGAAGGAGGAAGATCATTCATCTTCAAACTAAGAATAAACCTGATTGATAAAAAACCTTGTAATGAATCTGATTGATTTCATTGGACTATTTAGATTACTGCAAAGCACATGAGAGCACCTTCTGCCCAGAGGAATATCTTCATGGAAAAGTTTTTAAGAGAAAAATGGCTTTTGTTGATGTTACATATGTTGAAAATTACAAAACTTATGTGGAGCTACCCTTTTTGCTGAGATTTGAACCCAAGTTGAGCTACCAGTGTTTAGTATTTTACCGCTTAGAAGCAAATGGACAAATTCTGCTTTGAAATAGATAAAAATAATGATAGCTTTATTTTATATGGTGAAAAAATTTAACATATGTTGATAACTTCTAAATGAATCATTGATGAAAAGGAATGAGAAGTTTGAAAAGAAAAAAAATTCAAAATTAGGCAAAACAGGAACCTTATTTTGGCATAAAATTTGGAAACAAAACTCTATTGAGACTTAGGTCAAGAGCAATCAGAGTTGGAGACCTTTTTTTCTTGTGTGTGGGTTGGGGGGGGGAGAAACGCCTTGTCTTAAATTTTACATTATAAATGTAAAATTTAATATACATTTTACATTTATAATGTAAAATTTATACTTTGGCATCTTTCTCTTCCAAATTTTTTAATCCCTTACCTTAAATTTATAATGAAATATTGTTTTTATGTAGGAATTCATTTCTGCAAATCGCTTATGTCTTTCTTCTCAGCCACTGTTTGAATCTTTTAATCAGACGACTCTGGGTACACAATATTTTCCAGCTTTTTGCTTCATTGGAATTGCTTTGCATATTTATATATTCATTGGTTTGGTTTTTTTTTATTGAGATAACAGTAAAGCACACTAGGGCTATCTGCCTAAGGGGAGGGATGCCTTCGTGGAGGACTTTCTAAGGAAACTGGCTCGTATACACGTTACATATTGGAAAAACCTCAAAAATGCCTATGCAGCCAGCCCGTTTGGGGGATTCGAGCTTCGGACCGAACTACCAGTGTTCAGCGACTTAACCGCTCGGCCACTGGTGGGCCTCATTGGTTTGGAGCAGAATGCATTTATTTATCAATTTCATAAATTTATCATGTGTAATTTAATTGAAGCAAAAGTCTTTATAGTGGTACAGAAAGAAATAATATTCTGAAAAACTTTAAACGGTTGTATTGGTCTATGAATAAATTGGGATATGAGATTGTAGTCATTTTATGTTGTTTATTCTTAATCATAGAGAAAATTTAATTATTTATAGTTATTAAATTAAGGTAATTATTTTTTAAATATATTATTTACCAAGTTTTCTGCATTAGATGTGCATTTTCTAAAAGACATTTATGTTGCCTATGTTCTGAAATTATTTTTTTAGTTAATGTACCTTACTCAAATTCTTATACTGGAAAATAAGAAGTTAAATACAAATAAATAAATTAGAAAACATTCATTTCACTGGGCAAAGTTTTGACTTTTAATAATGTTTTATTGTGTGTTCCAGTGTTTAAAAGTGTCTCAGTTGAAAAGCATTTGCTTGATTCATATAATATCTTAAATTCTGATTTATTGCAAAAAGGCTGAAATAGGAAAGCTATACTTTAAAGAATAAGTTTTTGTGGATGTAAATGTAAGTCAGGTTCTAACAAAAACAAATTTTCGGATAAGATGTTCTTATGTAAATGCAAGAATAAAAACTGTGCATGTATATACTATAAATGTATATATATATACACAGCAGACAAATATCATGTAGTAATTAATACATTACTGTAAGAAGTTTTGTTACATGTTTCAGTATTGATTCTGGTTTTATATAAAATTTAGTACTTGTATATATTCATTATGTTTTTTGAAAAGCTTTACTTTTTTTATTCTTAGATTCTACTAATTATGATATTAAATAGTAAAATGGCAAAGTTTCAATAAATCTTTTAAATTTTTAGGCACAAAGAGATTATTTTGGTGCTCATACATATGAACTTCTCAAAGAACCTGGTAAATTTGTTCATACAAATTGGACAGGCCATGGTGGAAATGTTACATCATCTACTTACAATGCCTGATTAATTGAACTGTTTTTTTGCAAAAATTGGAAATTTCTATTTTATATGTTGTTAAAATATTTGGTATATATTCTATATATGTGTTGTATCTTTTTCATATATGAAATACGTTTTATAAAATGTTTTTCTGTAATATTTTATGCATTTTATTTAAACATAGATTATTGTTTAATGCTTGATTCACTCCTACATAATTTATTTTTTACAAATATTTCTGCCTTGCTCTTTGATGCGCATAACATTTTGCATTGCTCTTGTGAGCTTTAAAAAATTATTACAGAAGATAAAGTCTGTCCAGCTTTGAACCAAAGTTTAGAATTTTTTAAATTTTGGTTCATAAATCAAAAATTGTTAGATGTAATGGATGGGAAGAATAAATAAAAACAAATTCCAAAAAAAGCCCACATATTTTTATAAAGCAATGTATATTAAATATGTAACATTTTTATATGACAAGAAAATTTTTAAAAGGCATATAAAAGCTATATGTTTTTCAAAATTGAATTTTGGTTCTTTCTCATCAAATTAAGCAGCGTAATTACTTCCTGATCAGTTACACATTTTGTTCTAATTTCATTATTCAATAAATTCATTACAGTTCAACATGTTTTCTGTGTTCTTGTAGGAAAACTGTGTATATAATTAGAATTCTCAGTAAAAGGCACAGTTTTTATTTTTGATCATAATAAAAGTTGAAAACTGTTTATTGCTGTCTTGCTCAATCAAATAACACAATTTTAATAGCCATGCAACATTACTATTTTCATGCAACCTCTTCACTTCATCATATTTTTCTTTTCTTCATGAACAGAGAGAAATATCTTCATAGTCAACATTTCCATTTGCATCGACATCATTTGCTGCATACTTCCAATTTTTTATTCAAACATTTTGAGGTCATGTGGTCTTACTAAGTACAAATTTCATTCTTGACAGAGGTTACACAAATTTATTTTGGCAGATTTTTAGTCTTCTATTTGATTTTATTTCTGTAGAACATATTTTTTTTAATTATTCTTCATTCAGTTAAAATTATTGCTAAATTTATATAACAAGAAAATGGGAAAAGTAAAAAATTGTGAAATTTCATGCTAGGCTGCATTCATGCTAATTTGTTTTTTTTTACTTCTGAGTTACTGATCTAAAACTATATCATAGACCAGGGGTGGCATTTTTTAAAATTTGAAATTTTTCACGAGCCGCAATTAAATACAAAATTAAATTTAAAAGGTAGGTAAAATAGGTATTAAAAAAATTTTTTTACACAAATTTATTTATTGAAACATATGAATAAAAGTACAAAATATGTGTATTGAATTTAAAGAAAATAAAAAAAAATTAAACATGTTATTTTACTTCTTGATAATTCTTTAAAATTTGTTGAAAAAATTGGTGACAGCAACTTCTCAGTAATTCTTCGGATGGCTGGTTTAGTTAATACTGTTCGGTGTTTGGATTTCACAAATTTTAAAGAGGAATAAAATGATTCATATAAGTTTGTTGTTCCGAATATTGAAATAATTCAACAAGCATCCTTTTTTAATTCAGGATACTTCGATTCTGGTACAAATTTCCAAAATTCAGTAATTGGGGTCGATTTATATTTTAATTGTAGAGCTTGATCTTCTTGTATCTCTATGAATTCTAATTCTCCAGATGCTTTTTGAGAGATAATTATATTGGAAATTGAAAACTCGCCTTGAATTATGTTAATTTCAAATGGATTCAGAAAAAAATCAAGAGACGATGGACGGAAATGAAATTTGTTACAACGTTGCACTTAGTCTTTCATATTTGTTGTCTGTAATTTAAAAGACATTTTGAAATACATACGGTACAATAATATTTTTTAAAAATATAATAACGCAGAAATGAAAAGGGAACTGGGATACATTTATCGAGAGCCACAAATAATCCTTCAAAGAGCTGCATGTGGCTCATGAGCCGCAGGTTGGCCACCCCTGTAATAGACTATCAAGTTTCTGAGTTTTTGATTTTATTGCATCTTCTCATTTTTACTACAAAGGAAAATTCTGTATGATCTCTGCATTTTATTGTTAAACAGATATTGGCAATTGCCCCCCCCCAAATTAATTTTATATTGAGCATTTAAAAAAAGGGTATTATTAGGAATACTGAAATGTAATTTTTAAAGTTTCTCAAATCATTCAAATGAAATATAGTCATGAGTAAAAAAGTGCTAAAATTAAAGAATCTTGAATTTTTCGACACTCTCTGTATTTTCTTCTTTAAGCCATAGTTTTAGAATTCTTGGTGCAAAATATATTCATATAATTAAATCATTTGTGTTTATAATAAAAATAACAAGTGTACCAATCAAGAACACTGATGCTTTTCAAACATACATTTATTCTTTATTATTTTTTATTTATTCTAATGCCAAGTTTGGCTCAAAACACACTTTGAATTTCTGTATAACAAACAGTAAATATTTCTTATTAATAAACAAAATTTTCAAATGCAGACTGTTTTGTAATGAGAAATGATAGTAATTAAGGATATGTAATTTTCGCATTAAAAAAGGAAAATTTTCAAAAATAAAAAGCCAAAAATGAAATTTTCTATTTGTTCACAGCTTGCACAAACAACTGTTGTTTTTTCAATCTACTATAATTAAATAAATTACTAAAGTAACATAAAACATTAACTGAAAGCTAACATTTTGTAGTCTCAGTATTCTCTTCCGTTTGGTCGTTGTTACCTATCCTTGATGAAGGTGATATTATAGATACTAAAATATATTTTAGCATCCACACTAGTATCAAGCTTTTGAATAGCAACCTTTGTGAAGTTTTTGACAAAATATTGTTATTTTAAAAATCTGTATGGCCCTCAATCTCAACTGTATTTAGGTGGGAACTGAAAGGGTTGTAGCCTTCCTGAAAACTGAAGTTTCAGTTTATAAGTAGAATACAGTTATAAAACCATTGGATTTAGGTAAAAGTCACAGCTCCCTGAAATTAAAGCCTAGTGACAGTAGTGCCTCAGCGAGTGTCAATTGACAACTTCCAGAGTTGCCAACTCTCCTTGTTTAGGTGGCAGACTTTCGAAACCTGACGATACTCCCACCAACCTGATTTACAACATATTTCTACTGACTTTCTCTTAATTCTCACAATTTTTATGCAGCTTGGCTTAATACTTTGTTATTTACATGAAAAAAAAAAATGTGATTTTGGGAGCCTGAAAATGCTTGTTTTTGTATAACTACATATAAAAGAAAACAAAAGTCATTTCATCATTGAGACATTATGGTATGCTTCTGTTTTGTATGTGAGAGCATATGTGTACAGAAACGATGTATTCCACTTCTCCAATGGAGCATCAAGCATCGCTGTGGGGCATCTGGCACATATCAGCCAATGAGCACTAAACAAGATCGAGGTTGTTATTTCGTTCGTCTTGCCACTGAGCGCTGTGAGTTTCACATGCTTTTGAGAAATTGTTTTAGAAATTGCAATCTTTTATCATAGTTATGCCTGCAAAAAAAGGAAGAATTCTCGCAGTTTCCAAAAATCATACACTGATGACTTTTCTTCCAACTTTTTGCCAAAGAAATGCTATACTTTGCGATGTGTACCGTTTATTGCGAGTTTTCAATTTTGCGCAGTAAAAGGACTGATTTCGTATGTATGTGCGCACACAAAGGCTACAAAGACAACATGGGTTGTATAGAAAAAAGAGAAAAATTAAATTTTTCTATGGAAACAAAGAACCAAAAGGTTATTAATGCAGAATGTCTGTTCTCTGCTTTTTTACTGGAGCACAACCTGCTAATGAATGCTTCGAATCTTGCTGGAGCTTTATGTAGAAAAATGCTTCCCCAGTAGCAAAATCGCTAAGAAATACTCAAGTTCAACGGCAAAAATGGCTACAATTGTTTAAGAAATGAGCACAAATAATAAACATACAGTTAATTGTTTTGCCATAAAAAACAGCTCCATTCTGCCTTTCTCTGGATAAAAGCAGTAATACGAATGCAAAACTATCGATTTTTTTTTTTTTTTTTAAATCCAGAGCCTTTAGAAATTGAATGTAGTTGTTATTTTATCCTTATATTAGAAGCAGATTTGACAGACTTTAATATAGCACAGATAATTATTAAAACTTTAAATGAAAATGCATTTCCTTTGGATAATTTCTTAGCACTTGGTGCTAGCAATACACTAGTCATGGTAGACTTGAAGACTGTTATTGCAAGCATCTTGAAGAAAATTCAAGTTTGAAAATTATGAGATGTGTCTGTCACTTCTTAAATTTAACATCTGAAAAAAGAGCAGCATTTTTACCAATAAATGTGGATGAATGTATTGCTAATATTTATTATCTTGAAAAGAGTTCTGAAAGGAAGAAAAAATTGAAATATTTCCAACAGCTACATAATACTGAAAAAAAAAATTTTTTTTTTGAAACATGTATGTACACACTGATTATCTTTAGAGAAATGTTTATCTAGAATCGTTGACTAATGGAACCCATTTCTTATATTTTTTAGAGAATAAGTTAATGCTTCTAGAGTTAAGCTAGAGTCTAGAGGCTCTATTGAAAGTTATAAAATAAAATATCTAAGGTAAATGGAGATGTATTCACTGCTTCCGACTGTTAAAAACAGATGTGAGAAAATTATGAGAGATGTGAGAAAACTGTGAACTTTCTTAAAATCTGCCACTGTTCTTAACATTTGTATGAAAACTGGTTAAAATATTTTTCTATTAAAAGATACAAATACTATAAATTTTTTAACCTAAGTATTTTTGTACTATGTATATTCTAAGAATTAGTAACTGAACTTTCAAGTATTAACCAGTTATTATTTAAAAGTTAATTCATTATTAAAAAATATATTTTCTATATATTTTAATCCTTTAAAAGATCTTTTTGTCGTTGAGAAAATCTGATTTCTTAAAAAAAAAAGTCTCTTGATTTTTGAGTGGTGTAGATTGGCAAGTGTGCAACTGTAAAGAGTTTATGAAAAGTGATTGTATCTATCAATGAGCTCGTTTTTTGAAATATCTTTAAAAAATGATACATTTGAGAAGGTTTCCAACAATAAGTTTGACTTCGAAGCTGGAGCAGAAGTGCTTGCAGCTACAGATGAACAAAATGATCTTAAATATGCTTGTAGAAATTTATTTGCTACATTGCATAGCATGTATAGTCATTTTATTTAAACTTTCTTTGCTACCGTCATCAACATCATTTCGTATTTAAAGAATTTTGAAACGTTCACGAAGCTAAGTTTTATTCATTGTAACATATAAAAGCTGCGGTTTAATATGAGTAAAAAGTAAAACTTTCGATACATACGGTGTTATCTAAAGTCGTCAAACTCTAGAACAATGCACATAACAGTTCTGTAGGTAATCATATCCATTAGCTGCAATGCAAAAAATTCACCGAATTGCCTTTTTCTTCCATAAAAAAATGGCTAAACTGCACCGAAGTGATTGTGCTAAATATGTAAATACCAAATTTTCTGTAGTCTATTTTCTGCTAAGTTATAGAAATTGTCTAATTAATCAAAAATTTTAACTTTAATTTAGACTTTATAAGGCCGTAAGCTTTTTGGGATATGGGGCCATTTATGAGTCCAGATGTTATATGTCAATGCCAAATATGATTTTCGGATCCCTAGAGGATTTTTTGGGGGGCCCTAAGCTATAGCTTGTGTAGCTTATACGTAAA